GGCTGGCCAGGCACTTGTCTGGCCGAGTCACCTGTTGCCTCCCAGCCGGCTCTGCCCGCGGCCTGTGCTGCCATGTCTTCACCGGCTCCTTGTGCCAAGCCCAGCTCACCTGATCGCACCTGTGAGGCCTGGCGCTACCTGTTCCCCTCCTGAGCTGTTGTGTCACCTGACCCAGGTGCAGAGCTCTGTGCTCACCAGCTGCTCTGTTGCCATGGCTACCTGGCAGGCCGAGGAGGGAGGAGGCTGGGGTAAAGAGGGGCCAGGAAGGGCCTCCAGGCTGAGCAGAACCTGTGGGGCCTCAGCTACCCTGCCAGTAGCTGGCATTGTGCAGCCAGAGCGCAGGGGGCTGGTTCATCTGGCCAATATCTAGCTATAAATATGTGAATAAATCGATAAATAGAGTTTGGCTATTCCATGAACTGGGACCGTCGTCTCTGTAGGTGGATGGTTGCCAAGATCCTAATTATGAGAAGAGATTGCATGATAGAGAAAAATGCAGCGGCATTTTCTTTCCTTATGCTCTTAAAGGTGGAGGACACACACACACACACACACACACACACACACACACACGAGGTTTTATTACGTCCTGTGCATGGTTGTTATTCCTCAGCGCCAGTAAAAAGAGAGAAGATTCCGTGAGAGCTTTTAACGAGTTCTAGTTTTAGAAGCAATCAGGAAAATAATTGCCTGATTTAAACATTTACTAAGTTAAGGTGTTTTATAGTCTCTCCCGCTCTCTGGTGCCCACGCCTGGGCACATGGCTCCCAGTGCCTGCCGCCCTCGTGCACCGTGGCTGGGGCTGCTTGCCGTCCCCGGGGGCTCCATCCTAGGGCAGCCCTGGGGGGGCTCTGGGCTCCCAGCATGGCCCCTGTGACCAGCCTGGCCTTGAGGTCACACCCCGGGGACTGAGTCCTAGACTTCTGCCTGGAGCTCGGCTCCTACCCCAGCTCCTGGTGGGGCCCAGATCGCTGGCACAGCCCCCTCATTTGCCCTTGGCATCCTCCATCGGGAGCCCAGGCCTGCTCAGGTGCCCAGCACAGTGACCGGAGGGACAGCCATCCGTGCCGGTCACCTGTGCCCAGACACTGCCGCTCTGTGCGCTGCCCCCGCCCCTGGGCCCCTCCCTCTTCTGGCCCGTCATCAGGTCTACCCCCAGCCAGCAAGTCCCAGCACCCGTGAGTGATCCTGGACGAGGAGGAGGTGCTAGCCCACAAACTCCTCCACCGGCCAAAGGCCTGGGCCTGGGGCTGGGGGTGGGGACCGCAGCCCCCGGGGCAGCCAGGGTCACACCTGCTCTGCGTTACTAGGGAAGTGCGCGTGGGGCTCCCTGCCCCAGACCTTGCAGGGGGGCTGGAGGCTGTGTGCCCACAGGCTCATCTGGCTGGGAGCTGGGATCCTGGGGTCCCCATGCTCTGAGCAGCCCCTCGGAGCCAGTCTGGTCCGTTCTCTGAGGTCACATAGGAGGCTTCTGCCTGGGAGTCCGGGAGGGGTCGGTGGCCCCAGGCTCGCCTGCCACCCTTTCCCCGTGGTCCGTCTGGTTCTGCGTGGTGGGGGGCGCGCACCCTGCTGATCCCCTCATGGTGGCCCGAGGTCGGGGGTCAGCCTGGTGCTGGGGCAGTGTCCCCTGCTCCCATCCTCGCTCCCTTGGCCACCAAGCTGGTGGAGACCCGCTGGGGCAGGGGGGCCCTGGACACCCTCGCTCCCCTTATCCCCCCGCCGCAGGTTCCTTCTTTTTTGAGTGGGTAGGATCTTTATTCAGAAGGATTGTTCCAGGGAGTGGGGGGCTCTTGAGCGAGGAGGACGCTGCGCTGTATGATGTGCAAACACCTGGGAGTCGGGACGGGCTTCTCGTCTGCAAGGGAGTGCGCCGAGCTGGAGAGGTTGGGCTGGGGCATCTGCGGGGGGCGCAGGCCCTGGAGAGGAGCTGGGCTCACACTTGGCCAGCGCGCCTCCTGTCCCAGTGGGTCGCGGGATGAGTGGTTTGGCTCATCTTGTGTGAGGCAGAGAGGGAATTAGGGGTCCGGGTCCAGCCTCGTCCTGGGAGAGTCGGGTCTGAGTCACCTGGGGAAGGGTCTCTGCAGAAAGCCGTTCCAGGAGCCCAGCCTGAGCGTCTCTTCCAAGCGAGTGATTTATTCATCACCGAGCAACTCGGAGGGTCATGGGTCTGAGGGTGAAGCAGGGCCCCAGGACAGTCTGCAGAGGACGTGGGGCTGGTGGCGCTCCTCAACGCCAGCCGAGCGGTGGCGACGGTCAGCGGCCAGAGTCTCAGGCGTCTTAAAAAGAGGGAGGCTGGGAATGAAGGAGGGTGTCCGTGTCAAAGGTTACATCAACTCCCCAGATCCCAGTGCGTGGAGACCTCCCAGGAGGCAGCCGTGATGATGAGTTTCTGGAGGATGAGATGCGGGTGCCCTTGGAGCGCCATCCGGGCGGGTCACCCGCGTGAGACTCTGCCTCCTCGGTGCTGCTGGCCTGTGTGCCCGGTGCTCTGGGTGCATCTCAGCTCACGCCAGCGGACCGGGTCATTGCCGCTCTGGGCCGCCGTCCTCGGCCACAGCCCCGACCGTGTTCGGAGGGCTCCTCGCTGCAGAAAGTTCACGTGGGGAGGAGACGAGGCCCTGGTGGAGGCGGCAGTTTGTAGAGCTGGTCGGCAGCCGCTGTGCCTGTGTGTTTGCAGCGTTTGGAGACTTGCCTTGGCTGCTGCATCTCCGTGGGGGCCTCTCCCGAAGCCCAGAATGTGAGCCGGACCAGGGACCCCGTGTTCCACCCGGGCTGTCCCGGGTTCTCAGGGTCAGTGCTGCTGCAGACAAGGAACACCCACTACAGCAGCCGTGTGTCCCGCCGAGGCCAGGCCACGGTGACGCACGGCCGCTCGTGCTCCAGGGGCGGTGGGCTCGCTCCCAGGCCCCCAGGAGGCACCGGGCTCGTGGCCCCTGCTCAGCCGCCCCCTCCCTGTCCTCTCCTTTGCCAAGGCTCCGTCCCTGTGCCCACGGGAAGGGATCCAGTGCGTGCACGTTAAGTCTGCCGGTGCCAGTGGCTGTGGCACCAGACGTCCCTGGGAGCACCCGCCGCCCCTGGGTGCTGATCAGGTGTCCCAACTGCGGGGGCTGCCCCGTTCCGAGTGGTGACCCAGGGAAGGGGGGCCGGGCAGGCGTGCATGCGGGTGCCGGTATTTCCCAGCTGCGTGTCCCGGGGCAAGTCCCTTAACCTCTGGTGACGATTTCCCCGCCTGAAAGTGGGGGTACCGGTGGTGCCCTCACACAGCATGGGAGGCTGTGTGCCCTAGAAAAGCTCCTCTGAGCCCCCGAGTCCAAGTGCACCCACGGTCAGGCTCAGGGCCCCCAGGCCAGCCTTGTGCGAGAGAGACTTCTGTCTGCGCCCCACTGGGCAAGCTCAGGGGCCGGGGTCAAGGTTGGTGGTCTGGTGGCCTTGGGACGGGAACCTGGAAGTGTGAAGAGGTGTGTCTGTCTGCCTGACAGCCTGGCTGAGCCCGCAGCTGTCGCGTGTGACCTTGAGGTCTGGACCTTAGGGTGGCGCCTAAGCTTGGCCTCCCCACCAGTGGCCTCAGCCAGGGAGGGCCGTGGGGATGCGGATCTCGGAAATGGGCCCAGGCCAAGGCCACCCGAGGCCCCACGCTCACCACCACCTTCCCGGCTGTGGGCCCCATCCCAGCAGAGCCGCCGCCTCCGCCGTGTGTGAGCCCAGTGGTGGAATTGCAGTTGATAGTACATGTTGGTTTAAGATCAGGCTAATTGCTTCATCTCCCAGAGCACTCCTAAAAAGGGAATGAGTCTCCTTGTAATATTTTGCAGTGGGGTGAAATGACCCTCGTGGAAGTCAGTCCAGGCTCCGCATGAGCTGCAGGGTGGTAGGGGCAGGGGCGGGCTGTGAACCCTCCCCCCACCCAGTCTCACGGGAGTGAAGGAACCTTCCCTCTGGCTCTACCCTGGCCACGCGCCAGGCACTGAGGGAGGAGGAGGTTTGGATTTGCCCAGTGGTAGGTGGGGGAAGCTGGCTCCCAGGTGAATGACTTTGCGCAGGGTCACCTGGCTGGCCGGTGGAGGAGCCGTCTCCTGCAGGGAGAGGGCTTCAAGTCAGCGGGCATCGGTGCCAATCCCAGCCCTCCCCCTTTCTGTGAGGCCCGGGAGGTCACACACCTTTCCGAGCCCCACAACCTCCATTGTCAGGTGGGTGCTGTGACCTCCCTTCACAGGTGCTGCCAGGTGTGAAGGTGGCCATGTGTGATGTGCCCCTAGCACAGCCCCAGGCGAGTGGTCTGTGAGTGGTGTGGCCACATCCCTCACCAGCATCATTGGTACTTGCTGGGCAAAGTGGAGTTAGGATAGAGGTGGGCGGCTTGGAAGATGCAAGAGGCCTGCATGACATGCAGGGTGGGAGGTACCCCAGTTTCCTGGTCTCAGTTCTGCTTCTTACCCCGTTCACTAGCTTCACGAAGTTACTCATTCTTTAGACAGCAGTGGGGCTACCGTCCACCCTCCCACCCACCCACCGTCCATCGTCCATCCATCCACCGTCCATCCATCTACCCACCACCCACCCACGTGTGCTGGCCCATGCTAGGTGCCGAGTGTACAGAGAAGGAAAAGTGGACCCTCTGTCAAGGAGCCCCCCTGGGAGGGAATGAGGAGTGAGGTGTTTGCAGGACTGACAGGCCTGTGGGAGGTGCAGACTGTGCCCTCTGCTTCTCAGCCTCTTTCCTCCTTTAGTCAGGCCTGCAGGACAGTGCTGGGGCCACAGCCCTGCACGAGACTAGACTGCAACCTTCCAGACCCTGGGTCTTCCGTGCACAGCAAGGGAGCGCACAGCCCTGGGATCCTCAGCATGGGGTTCGGCCTCAGGGTCAGGAGGCAGTATTTCAGATCCCAGCAATGTCTCTGACTTGCGGGGTGACCCTGGCCTTGTTTCTGGTTCTTGGCTCTCATTTAGCACTCTTGGTGGCCGTGCCCTTGACCTAATGGCTGCCATCTTGTTTCCACAGAGTGACCTATTGGATGTGAACCAGATCATCAAGGACTTGGCCTCCATGGTGTCAGAGCAAGGAGAGGCCATCGGTGGGTACCCATGCCATCCACCCAGCCACCTGCCCGTTCCCCCAGGCGTGGGCAGACGGCAAGGCCTGGGCAGGTTTGGAGGTCTGGGCATCTGCCGCATTCCCTCCCCACCTCCTCAGGTCGCCCCCAGCCCCTCGGGAAGGCCGGGCCTGAGGAGTTGCACGCAAGAGGCTGGCCTACCCGTTCCGCTCATGGAAGAGCCCTGGCCTGCCTGCCCACCCCCCCGCCCCCCGGGCCTTCCTCCCCAGCCAGGGACTCCCCAGGGGGAGGACAAGCTGTCCTCGGCGGGGGATGGGCTGCAGCGGGTCCCCCCGCGGAGACTGCTGGGGGTGTATAGCCGGGAGCCGCTTCCCAGGAAACGTGCGTGGTGGGTTACAGGGCTGTGAGGGGGGAGCTGACGTCCCTGCTGTTTCCCAGCCTCCCCCACGTGAGGGCCTCTGCCCCACCCAGCCCAGCCTGCCACCCGCTGTGGCCTTAAGGCTTTCCTGCTGCTGCCCTGAGTGCCCGGCTGCCCTGGGCAGCGGGGAGGTCGGGGAGGGGGTACTCACAGCCCCTGGCCTTGAAGAGCAAGGCGGCTCGGGGCGCCCAGAGCCACTCGGCCAGCAGTCAGCACCCAGCCATGGCCCAGGGCTTCCCCCCACCCTCCACCCAGTTCCCCTGCCGAGTCGTTGCCTCACTGGGGTCCCCTGGCTCTGAATAACCTCCTGCCTCTCAGGCCCGGGCGCCGGGGAGGTGCTGAGGCCCATGCACGCCCTGCTCCCCAGCGGGCAGCCCAGCTGCCCTCCTCAGGGTGTGCTGCACCCCCAGGAACAGAGTGACTGGAGAGAGTTGGGCCGCGCTGCCTCTGGCCCCTCGCTCACCTGCAGAGCCTGGGTTCCTTCCTGCAGGACCCTGCTCTGGGCGGGGCCGCCCGTCACCCCAGGGCCTCCTCTGTCTCCACGTCCTCCCTCACCCTCGCTCTGGCTGGCCGTCTCGTGCAGGAGGCTTGTGCGCTCCAGATGGACACCCAGGTGTCACCTGGATGGTCACTGAGCCCCATCACTGATCGGGAGGGGCTGTGTCCCAGGCAGGGAGGTGGCGAGGACTCACCTGCTGGGACCCTGGTTGGGGCCTGGCGGAGGGGATGAGCACCTGGGCCCAGACGGGTCCCCGCTGCGTGCTGCGTGCTGTTACGGGTGTCCCTGCGATGATGGTTGTCGGTCTGGGGCCACCGTCCCCTCTACGGGGGGCAGTGGAGACCCGGGGCCACGAGCCGGGGTCGGGGGCTCTGCTCTCCACGGCCCGTCCCATCTGCCGCCAGGCGCCCGTTGGCCTCCGCCTGCCCTGAGCCTCCGGTGCCTTTCCAGGGTCCAGCAGCGGCAAGGCCGCGTGCCGGCGCAGCTCCAGCCCCGAGCCGGCCATGGTGGCGCTGCTGCCCGGGCCGGGCTGTGCGCCCCTGCGGCCGGGCTCCCACTCACGCACCAAGACGCGGAAGCCCAACTTCAGCCCGCAGGAGACCGAGGTGCTGGTGCAGAGGGTGACGCGCCACTACCCGCTGCTGTTCGGGGCTCTGCGGGGCCCACCCGCCCGGAAGCACCGCGTGTGGAGCCGCATCCTGCAGGCGGTGAATGCACTGGGCTACTGCCGCCGGGACCTGGGCGACGTCAAGCACAAGTGGCGGGACCTGCGAGGGGTGGTGCGCAGGAAGCTGGCTGAGCGCCCCCGGGCCCCCGGCCCCGTCCTCACGCCCGTCGAGCGCATGGTGGCCGAGACCTTCGCGGCCCCCGGCCCCGCTGGCGAGGGCCAGCCCGCCGAGGCCCTGCCGAGTAAGTGGACCCTCAACAGCCTGCACGGAGCTTCGAGCAAGAACCGCGGGGAGAGCTGAGGCCCCTGTGCGTCTAGATGGGGAGACCGAGGCTCCAGGCCAGTCCTGGGCGTGAAGGAGCTGAGGCTCAGAGCCAGGTCCATCTGGGGTCGCCCCACATGACAGGGCCTCCGCGGGGCCTCCGAGACCTTGGGGAGCTGAGGTCCCCGTGAATCGCTCGGGTGATCGTGGGAAGCTGGCACCGTTTCCTCCATCATTGGCCCGGCTCAGCTCACCTCCCTGCCCCTGCTGTGCCCTGTCTTGGGCGTGGGGCAGGCAGGGTGGGTGAGCTCACCTCCCGACGCCCTCTTGGGCTCTCAGAGTGGGGTCCCTTCTCCCTGGGTCACTCAGCCCCCAGAACAGGCCAGGGCAGTGTCTGGGGCTCGCAGCCTCCCAGGGCCTGGCGACCCCTCGGAGCCCAGGGCCCACCTCCGGGGCCAGCTTTGCAGAAGTTTCTGAGCCTGGTGCGGAGGGCGGGCCGGGCCCTCCGGGGCACCTCAGCGTCTCCTCCCCGCACCCGTTTTCCTCCTCCTCCTCGAGGCGCCTCTCAGTGTCCGTCAGGGGAGCCCTTCTCCGGGCTGCCTTCTCTCTGCGCATAATGGCTCCACCCACAGCTCCAAGCTGAGCTCCACCGGACCCTTGCCTCACCCCTTCCTGGGGAGCTGCTGGAAGGACTTTGGAGACGATGCCAGAAGCAGGACCAGCTCCCTCCTGAGGGCTGCAGAGTGGGCGGCAGGATTCAGCCTCGTGGGGACGAGCAGGGGCCACAGACGCCCCCAGCAGAGGCCCCAGCGGACCTTCTAGTGGTGGTCTGCACTGAGCAGGGCTGAGCGGATCAGAAATGCACGCAGACCCAGGACACGGCCATGCCCTGGGCTGGACCATGGCGAGGGGCCTAGTTCGGGAGGCCACCTGCTCCCCTACAGGCAGAGCCAGACCTGGTTTTGGGGTGCTGCAGGGTGGGCACACTCTAAGGGCCGAGGGGGGCTGGCAGCAGGTGGTGTTGAGACCCGTCCCGCGCGTTCCCAGCCCCGGATCGAGGCAGGAGCTTGGTGGCTGTGTTTCTCCTGGTGGCCTCCGGGTGTGGCGCTCGGCACGCTCCTGAGTCATGAGGCCCAGCCTGGCGCAGACGCCCCTGCCTGCTCTGGTGGGCCGACGGCCCCCGTCCCGGGCCCCGTGGCTCCCGGGCTTTCCTCCGTCGGGACGGTACGCTGACAGCGAGCTCCTCTTGGGATCGGCTGGCACAGTGCTGACTCAGAGAGGTTTGTTGAATGAGTGAGAGAGAGGCGTAGGGGCAGGAGGCGAGGGCCAGCCCGCCGAGGCCCTGCCGAGTAAGTGGACCCTCAACAGCCTGCACGGAGCTTCGAGCAAGAACCGCGGGGAGAGCTGAGGCCCCTGTGCGTCTAGATGGGGAGACCGAGGCTCCAGGCCAGTCCTGGGCGTGAAGGAGCTGAGGCTCAGAGCCAGGTCCATCTGGGGTCGCCCCACATGACAGGGCCTCCGCGGGGCCTCCGAGACCTTGGGGAGCTGAGGTCCCCGTGAATCGCTCGGGTGATCGTGGGAAGCTGGCACCGTTTCCTCCATCATTGGCCCGGCTCAGCTCACCTCCCTGCCCCTGCTGTGCCCTGTCTTGGGCGTGGGGCAGGCAGGGTGGGTGAGCTCACCTCCCGACGCCCTCTTGGGCTCTCAGAGTGGGGTCCCTTCTCCCTGGGTCACTCAGCCCCCAGAACAGGCCAGGGCAGTGTCTGGGGCTCGCAGCCTCCCAGGGCCTGGCGACCCCTCGGAGCCCAGGGCCCACCTCCGGGGCCAGCTTTGCAGAAGTTTCTGAGCCTGGTGCGGAGGGCGGGCCGGGCCCTCCGGGGCACCTCAGCGTCTCCTCCCCGCACCCGTTTTCCTCCTCCTCCTCGAGGCGCCTCTCAGTGTCCGTCAGGGGAGCCCTTCTCCGGGCTGCCTTCTCTCTGCGCATAATGGCTCCACCCACAGCTCCAAGCTGAGCTCCACCGGACCCTTGCCTCACCCCTTCCTGGGGAGCTGCTGGAAGGACTTTGGAGACGATGCCAGAAGCAGGACCAGCTCCCTCCTGAGGGCTGCAGAGTGGGCGGCAGGATTCAGCCTCGTGGGGACGAGCAGGGGCCACAGACGCCCCCAGCAGAGGCCCCAGCGGACCTTCTAGTGGTGGTCTGCACTGAGCAGGGCTGAGCGGATCAGAAATGCACGCAGACCCAGGACACGGCCATGCCCTGGGCTGGACCATGGCGAGGGGCCTAGTTCGGGAGGCCACCTGCTCCCCTACAGGCAGAGCCAGACCTGGTTTTGGGGTGCTGCAGGGTGGGCACACTCTAAGGGCCGAGGGGGGCTGGCAGCAGGTGGTGTTGAGACCCGTCCCGCGCGTTCCCAGCCCCGGATCGAGGCAGGAGCTTGGTGGCTGTGTTTCTCCTGGTGGCCTCCGGGTGTGGCGCTCGGCACGCTCCTGAGTCATGAGGCCCAGCCTGGCGCAGACGCCCCTGCCTGCTCTGGTGGGCCGACGGCCCCCGTCCCGGGCCCCGTGGCTCCCGGGCTTTCCTCCGTCGGGACGGTACGCTGACAGCGAGCTCCTCTTGGGATCGGCTGGCACAGTGCTGACTCAGAGAGGTTTGTTGAATGAGTGAGAGAGAGGCGTAGGGGCAGGACACCCCCTCCCCGCTCCGGTGGGCTGAGACCAAGCAGGGCAGTGGCTGCCACACCTGGTTTGGGGGTGGGTCGAGGCCCAGCCCCACTGGCTCCTGCCTCTGGGTCAGTTCTGGCCTGGGGCTTGGGCAGGGTCCGGCTGCAGGGCTGAGGACAGCTGGTTGGCAGAGTGCAGGCCCCCCGCCCCCGGCGTGCCTGTAGCTCTGGCCGTGTTTGGGGGAGTGGTGCTGAGGGGCTTCTCTTTGGTCCCGGGGGGCCTGACCCAGAGTCTGGGTGCCCTGGAGACCCCCAGAGCAGAGGCCTCCAGGGCAGCCCCCGCCGAGCACCCCCCACGGGGACTGGGGGTGAGCCCGGGGGCCTGTGGCCCTGCCTGTGCCCCCATACTCTCCTGATGGGGCTCCCCATGGAGGAGCCGGACTCAGACTTCAGGGAGGGAACCACAGGCAGGGAAGACGCCCCCTGCTCAACCCGGGGCCCAGGGGACTTGGTGCCTGGGCGGCACCTGCGTTTATGGGAACCGTCCCTGCCTGGGCCTGGGTGGTGCCCAGGAGCGCAGCTCTCCAGGGAGATGTGTGCGTTTAGCCGTTTCTGCCTCTGGAGTACTCACCAAAATGCATGAATTTGGAGGCTTGTCCTCTTTTCCTGCAAGAATTTACTTGATGCACCTTTGCGCCTGGTCCCTGCTGAGGGCCGTGCCCATGGCCGCGGTCACTCCCTGATCGTCTGGGCGGTCCTTCCCTTTGGGAGGAGAGAAAACAGCATAGAGAATTTCCCTGGTCCTCAGCTGCGTGCAAACCCAGTTCCTGCTGGGGTCAAGCACCGCGGTCCTGACTCACCCCTGCCCTGCGTGCCCTCCAGCTGGGCTGTGCATCCACAGCAGGGCAAGGATGGATTTGGCACCTGTTTTACGTGATGCTGCCTTTTTACCAAGGGCGTCGCTGAGGGGAGTCTCCCCGTGTGCAAGGGCGGCCCCTGGGCCTCGTCAGAGCGGCTCAGGTGTGCTGTGGGGCTGGCACCTCTGGGGGGCTGCGTGGTCGCACCCCGCCAGCCCCTGCCTGAAGTCCTGGTCCCCACTCAGCCCCTCACTGTTGTCAGGACCGGCCGGTCAGTGCACTTGCTGATGTCCAGGGCCGAGTGCGGAGGAGGGTGTTCCCAGGCCCAGTCTCGCTGTCTTCATGGCGACTCTGTGAGCGTGTGGTCATTGCAGAGCCGGGCCTCACCCTTTCCTGAGTGGGCTGCCGCGGCTCCAAGGGACAGGCACTCCCAGGCTCTCTGTCCGGACAGCTCAGGCCGGCCAGTGCCCACGCCAGGGGGCTGACCGGTGCCCCATCGCTGCAGCCTCTGTTCTCCGGAGGCTGGACTCCCCACTTGTGCCTCGGAGTGATCACCGGGGGCAGATGCCGTCCACGCCCCGTCCCCACGGCCCTGGGTGGCCTCGGGGTCTCCACTCTGTAATTGCTTCTGTTGTCTTGATTTGCAGATAGTACTGAAGCCGGCCTTGAGGCTGCGTCCTCGCACGCAGAGGCGGCCAGGGAGCTCCTGGCTGGAGCCAGCCGGCACCAAGTAAGTCAGTGTGAGGGGACAGCCCACCCCCCCCTCCGGCCCCTGCCCGCGCCTGGGAGGGGCAGGCCCGCAGGGTCTTCTCTGTGCCCAGGCGGGCTGCTATGGGGGAGGGGAGAGGAAGGGGTTGCGGGCCGCGTGCCCAGGGTGGGAGGTCCCGCCTCCCCCTAGTCTGCACCACCCCCTCCCCCAACCGCGCCGCCGAGAGCGTGGCCGGGGCTTCTGCCCACCGCTCAGCAGTGAAGTGAGAGGGCAGGGGTGAGGGGCGGCCAGGAGCAGCGCCCACCAGCTGGGTCTCGCTGCAGTGGGTGCCGACGTGGCTGTGTCTCCCTGTTCCCAGGGTGTGCAGCACCCCAGCTGCCCCTGCAGGAAGCTCTGCGGCTTCTCCCTTATTCTCAAAAGGGCAGGATGGGTCTGTCGGTGTCTGCTGCCTTCCTGGAGGGCGTGGGCCATGGAAAGGGCCGCCCGGCCTTCCGGCCGCTGGGCTGGGTGTGTCCGTGTCTGCCCCTGGCCTGGCCCCCGGCTGGAGCTGGTGGAGCCCTCTCTGCTTGGGACGAGTTGGCCGGCTCAGAGGGAGTGAGGACAAATATCTGACCCTGATTTGCTTGAGGTGGGCTTAGGGCAGCCTTGGGGACCAATGCTGGGCTGCCGTGCTGACCTTCAGCCACCGCGTGAGCCCCTGACTGGGCCAGGCAGGCTTAGACCTGGGTCCAGCAGGGAGCGGGGGCCCGCAGCCTCCCTCCGCTTGCTCGCCATCACTCGCTGGCCCTCCGCTCCGTGCTGCGCCCCGACTTGTAGGGGTGGAGCCCACAGAGCGCATCTCTCCTGGAGCGTGCGTCCTAGGGGTGGGCGGGGTGGACAGTCCAGTCCAGTGACGCAAGGGCCCTGGGCCAGCCGAGGCAGGGAGGGCTTCCTGGGGGAGCGCCGAGCAGGAGTTGTCCTGGCAGAGGGGACAGAGGCCAAGGGAGGGGCTGCCCGGGCGAGCTCGGGACGCCCCAGGCCGGGGTTGCGGACAGCTGCGTGGGGGCCATGCTGGCGGGAGCAGGGAGGGGGCCAGGGAGAGATGATGGACGACGTCCTGTTCCCTGGGGGCTTCGGGAAGTCAGGCCTGTGCTGGGCAAGGGACTCCGGTTGCCTTAGCGGGGAGGAGAGAGCACAGGGTGACCGTCTGGACCAGGCAGGGCTGTGGGCGGGGCGAAGCGTGGGAAAGAGCGGCCCCTCCTAGCAGCTGCGCTCCCTTGCCAGGCTTCCCGTCCCTCAGGGAGCCCAGTGGGCAGAGCACACGCGGGGGGATGGGAGGCCGCTGGACTACACGAGAGTGCGTCGTGGGGTGGAGGCTGGCCCCACTGCTGGCCTCCCCTTTTCTCTGTCAGTGGCCACTAGACGCCTGAGTCAGGGCGACAAGCGTAGGCCACACATGACAGCTGGAGAACACCACACCGAGGGGGGGCGACGGCATGGATCTGCAGGATGGGGCGGAGGCAGGGCTGGAGGTTGTGTCTGCTGGTGCCAGCTCGGGGCTCTCTGCCCCAGCCACGGGCCCCAACCTTTCAGCGCGCCGAGGGCAGCCAGACCTGCGCCTGGACCTCTCCACCTGGCTGGGTCCTTCCAGGGCCTCCCAGGCTGCAATTGACAGGCAAGGTGGACTTGTCAGAAGCCCAGGGCCCGGCCTCTCCAACGGGAACTCTCCGAGCGGGCCAGTGCCTGCCGCGGGCCCTCCACCCCAGGAAGCCTCGTCGCGGGAGGGAAGCAGCAGGCCGGCAGGGAGGCTCCGCCTGTGAGCCTCCGGGCTCAGGAGGGTCAGCAAGTGCCTGGACCGCAGATGCCTGGAGCCCAGAAGGAGGAAGTGACAGTGAGGAGGAGGAGGAAAAGGAAGAGCAGGAGGCGGACGGGCGGCCACTGTGCCCGCGGACACACCAGGCTCAGAACCCCCCCTGGCGCCGGGGAGGGCGTGCGCCCAGGCCTCTGCGGTGGTGCTGTCGTCGCCCCTTTTCCGTCACAAAGCAGGACCCCCTGTGCCATAGGTGAGGTGAGAGGGGCTCAGATCCAGGAGGGACAGCCCAGAGTCGCCCCCCGCCCCGCAGTAATTCCTCGTGTTCTTGCCCACTGCCACGCAGCGTGTCAGCGGGTGTCAGCGAGGCAGAACAGCACAACCTGGGGCTCAGGCCCAGGGCTTTTCCCTGGGACCTTGGTTGACTCACCCTCCACACCCAGCCAACTGGAAGGTTAGCCTTCAGCTGGGCCTCTCATTTGCAGACGAGGGATTTGAGACCCAAAGGAGAGAAGGGTTTTCCCAAGGTCACACAGCTGTCAAGAGGAAGAGCTGATTTTGGAGCCCAGTTTGTAGGATTCCAAGTCTTGCCTTTTCCTGCTACCCTGGGGTAGCTGTGCTTTTATATACAGCTGCTCATGTTTGTGGGATGTCCGCTTGGTGGATGGATGGATGGACAGATGGATGGGTAGATGGATGGATGGATGGATGGATGGATGGATGGAGGGACTGAAGGATTGGAAGGGTGTATACACAAGTGGGTGGATGGATAGGCGGATCAAGGATGGATAGTTGATGGATGGATGATGGATGGATGGATGATGGATGGATGGATGATGGATGGATGGATGGATGATGGATGGATGGATGATGGATGGATGGATGGATGATGGATGGATGGATGATGGATGGATGGATGGATGATGGATGGATGGATGATGGATGGATGGATGGATGGATGATGGATGGATGGATGGATGATGGATGAATGGATGATGGATGGATGGATGGATGATGGATGGATGGATGATGGATGGATGGATGGATGATGGATGGATGGATGATGGATGGATGGATGGATGGATGATGGATGGATGATGGATGGATGGATGATGGATGGATGATGGATGGATGGATGATGGATGGATGGATGGATGATGGATGGATGGATGATGGATGGATGGATGGATGGAGGATGGATGGATGGAGGATGGATGGATGGATGGATGGAGGATGGATGGATGGAGGATGGATGGATGGAGGATGGATGGATGGAGGATGGATGGATGGAGGATGGATGGATGGATGGATGATGGATGGATGGATGATGGATGGATGGATGATGGATGGATGGATGATGCATGGATGGATGGATGATGGATGGATGGATGATGGATGGATGGATGATGGATGGATGGATGGATGATGGATGGATGGATGGATGATGGATGGATGGATGTAAGGAAGAAGGAGGTGGGCAGATGGAGGGATGGATGGATGCTTGATGAGCAAACAGATGGGCAGATAGATGAGGGGATGGATGAGTGGGTGGATATGTGTAGGTAGACAGATGGGCAGACAGGAGGGTGGGTAGATAATGGCCAGCTTGGGTGGGTGGGTGGATGGACAGACAGATGGCAGCATGGTGGTGGCACCTTGGCTTTGGAGCTGCCAGGTTGAAGTTTTACCTTGACGTTACTGGAGGACGTCTTTCGCCCTCTGCGTCTTGGTGTCCTAGCGAGGGCGCTGCTGCCCACTGCAGAGGGCCTCGCGCAGGTGGTGCTCCCTGGCATTGCCCTGGTCCTGGCTGGCGAAGGTTCACGTTTCCTGTCTCCCTCTGCCAGCCGACGACGACGAGGCCCCCGGCTGCCTGTGGCTACCCCTGCGGACGCTGGATGGGCCAAGCCTGCCTGAAGCCGACTCCCTGGACCCCCGAGGAGCCTTCCCTGCGTCCCCCTCCTCACCCTCCCCGCCCGCCTCCCCGGCCTCGGCACCTGCCACGGCCACATTCCCCGGGGCCTCCCGGCCCTCGCCGCCCTCCTCGGCTGCACCCCAGCCCCCCGGGAAGCCCACAGGGGCTGAGGCCTCGGACTTGGAACGGCGGCTGCTGGACTCGCAGCGGCAGCAGGGCGCCCTGCTCAGCTCCTGGTCCCAGCAGCAGAGCGCGCTGCTGGCCCAGCAGAACCTGCTGCTGCAGCGGCTGGCCGAGCAGAGCCAGCGGCTGGCCGATGGCGTCGAGGCCCTCAACCGGACCCTGGAGAGGCTGGTGGAGGCCCTGCCGACCCGGGGCGCCTCGCCCGCAGTCCCAGATGGCTCCCCTGGGGGTGGAACAGCCTGCAGGCCAGCTGGAGGCTCCCAGGGCAGCCCCCAGGGCGGCCACACAGGCCAGGCCGTCTTCTCAGGGATGATCTTGAAGGTGGAGGAGGAGATGTAGGGTCTGGGCCCCGTGGGCCGTGTGCAGAGCAGGGGCTCCGGCCCTGCCCCTCTGAGGCGCAGAGATGGGGCCTCGATGGAGCCAGGGAGGACGCAGGACTTGCGCCTGTGGTTGCCCCTTCCGTCCTGCCACTGTCCGTGGGCCTGCGACGCGAACGGAGGGCCGGGCTGAGGTCTACTCAGCGGTGACGCCGGTGGGCGGACCGAGCCCCCTCCGCTCCCATCCCGTGCTCCGACCGTCGGGGCGAGTGCTGTGGAGTGCAGAGCGGGGCGCCTCTCGGCGGGCAGTGGGTGAGCGGAGCTGCGGGAGGAAGCATGCGGAGCGCAGCACCCAAACCACTGCCTCGGGTGTGGGCCCTGGAGTGTGGCTCTGCTGGGCACCCAGAAAGCCCCCGGCGTGTGCCCTGGAGTGACTCCTGGAAGCCCGCCTGCTCCGCGGGTGTCCGGACTGAGGGGGGCTGGGCCCCTGCATCCTCTTGATTCTGCCCCGAGGGAACCACGCCCCGTGGGCCTGCGGTTATTTCTCTCAATTTTATGTCTGCGGTGTGGGGTGTATATATGTATGTGCACATATGTTCGTTGGTACTGGATGGGGTGGGATGCCATTTTATACCTGTTGACTTTTCTTGGAAAAAGATATTTTTCTCATATAAGCATAAAATAACAACAAAAAAAGGCAGTGATGATAACGAGGGTGATGCTGACAGGAAATGAGATGGAGCCCGTCTGTCTGCGCGTGGGCTCTGCCTCCGCCCTTGCCTGGCAGGCAGCCCTGATTCCCCCCGCCCGGTGTCAGATCCATCTCACCTGTGACTCCTGGCCCTGTGGGGTCCCTTGGGGCTGGCCCCAGCTACTGGCCCTGCCAGGCAGGTCACAGGGGCCTCAGCGCACAGTTCGGGTGGCTGTTGGGATCCTCGTGGCCCTGGGGCTGTGCCACCTCCAGCTTCCCCTTTGCCTCCTTCTCCAGACTCGTGATGAAAGCCTTTTCCAGAATCAAGAGGCTGAGGTCCTGGCACGAACTGGATAGCATGCTGGTCCCAGGGCTCCCAGGCAGCCTGGCCCTGAGGGGAGCAGAGACCAGGGTGGAACACACACAGTGGGAGGGACTTTTCCTGGTTTCTCTGTTTACCGTGGAGCCAGCAGCATGTCAGCAACTCTTGTCCACAAAGGAGAGCCCGAACTCCTTAGCTGCCCATCCAGCCCTCTGCAGTGTGGCCAGCGCCCTTCCAGCCTCCTGTTCCTCTGCGGTCTGGAGGACACCATGTGTTCTCCATGGCAGCCTTTCCTTCAGCCCTACAAAGCCAGAGTGCATTTCAGTGCCATGGCTGGCGTCTTCCTAGAGCTTCATTCCAGGTGAAAGGCACGGACCCTGCTTGTCCACTAAGATGCCCACTGCAGTGGACACACACCTCTCTATAGGCAATGAACACTGCTCTCCAAGGTTACCCACTAACCCTGGTCAACACCTACTCGGATCCCAACCTAGCCCTGACCCTGGTCACACTCGGAGCCCTGACTCTGGTCCTGTGCTGAACTCTGACCCTGGTCACGTGCTGAACTCTGACCCTGGTCCCGTGCTGAACTCTGACTCTGGCCAGTCCCATAATCCCTATTGGACCCCTGCACTGAGTGCTGAGGACACAGCAGCCCAGGCTGAGTAGAGGTCTGACTGCCTCCACAGGGCCAGTATGCTCTCTGCCCGCTGAGGGCCAGGCAGGGCATGCCTGGGGTGGGGTGCCTGCCTGTCGGGCCATCGGTCTGGGGGTGCACGAGGGAGCCTGGGTGGCAGGCAGGGGGACAGGGCCCCTGCCTGGCCTCGAGCGCAGGGGTGTTCCTGTGGAGAGGGGAGCCAAGGATCTGGGGTGGGGGTGGCCTGAAGATCCGTTAAGGAGGAGGCTGGGTCTTGGCTTAGACGGCAGCTGGTCAGAAGCAGAGCTTTGAGGGAGGAGCATGTGAGGTGCGGCAGCGGGGAGACATCTGACCCTCCCGGGGGGTTCCGGCGCCTCCTGTGCCTTCTGCCCGGGCTCTGGGCCGGGTGGCCAGGCAGCTGGCGGGCCTGGGCAGGGAGATGGGGGAGAGGAGAGCCGTCGGGAGGGCGGTGGGGGGGGCAGCGTTGCTGTCCTGTGCGCGGCCCGGGGGCCAGGTGGGCTCTGAGGACCCCGTGTGGGAGCCCGGGGACAGGGAGGCAGGGAGAGGGGGAGACCCCATGGAGGCTGGGTGACAAGTGCCCGGGGTGGGGGTGGGGGTTAAGGAGAGGGGGAAGGGCAGCAGCGTCCTGTGCACAGAGCAGCCCAGAGGTGTGAAGACCGAAGGGTCCTGACGTGGGGCGTCTAGAAGGCGTCAGCCACCACAGCAGGCCATGTTTCTGTGGCTTGCTCTGGTTGACTGCAAGACCTCTGTGTTCCAGAGAGACAGGAGGGCGGCCAGGACAGCTTTCATCAGATCCTGAAGAGACCCCAGGTCACCGTGGCAAATCTGAGGCCGGGTGGCCTTGGGGGCGCAGGGGTGATGGCCAGAGTCATGGAGAGAGCTGGGGGCCTCTTGGAGCCTGGTTTCAGGATTTCCAGTTTATGCCCAGTCCCTTTGTCGCGCTGCTTTACCAAGTGCGTGAGCCCGTCCATGTGACCCCAAGTGAGTAAGGCCAGGTCCCCGGCCTGGGGGAGCTGCAGGCAAGGAGTTGGGCAGATCCCTCTTGGTACACTGCGGGTTAAGCAGCCCATGCGGCTCCCCTGCTAGGAGACAGCTTAACGTGGAAAAAACCATGACTGTAAATGCTTTGCTGGCTTGCAGGGGGAAGCAAAATAACCAGACTTGTCCCCGCACCGCCAGCCCCTCGCCACCCCAGTCAAAAGCGCTGGATGGGAGGCAGCTGAGATCCTGTCAGACGGTCCTTTTGGTGAGAGTCCCGTGGGCCTTTGGGGCCACAGGCAGAGGCCACTTAGTCTGCAGCGGGCAGCCACGGGGTGCAGAGGGGGAGGGAGGGCCAGCAGTTGCAGAAATTACAAGACCACAGCTTTAGGCCCCATGCAGGCTAAATTATGTCCCCCTAAAGTTCAGATGTTGAAGTCCTCACCCCAGGACCTGAGCAGGTGACTGTGTTTGGAGTTGGGGCCTTCAGAGGTGATTGAGGTAAGGTGAGGTCTCTGGGGTGACCTCGGATTCAACGTGACTCGTGTCCTTATAAGAAGAGGAGATCAGGACACAGATGTGCACAGAGGGATGGCCGCGTGAGGACACGGGAGGGGAGGGCTGTCCACACGCCAGGGAGATCGGCCTCAGGAGGCGGAGGCCTGCAGACCCCGGGGTATCTGACTTTTGGCCTCCAGGACGGGGTCAGGGTGCATTTCTGTTGTTTGAAAAATCGAGTCTGTGTTACTTGTTAGGGCAGCCACTGCTGACACATGCAGACCCCCAAGGAATTAATCAGATACCTAACATAAGATAGTTTCTAAGAAATATTTTAAAAATAAGATGAAATCACAAAGATGAGTAATAATAAGAGATAATCAAAAGTGACCCAATGAGTCTGGAAAAGATCAGTGATAACTTTTAGAACAAAGGACTCGGCGGGGGACCGGGCAACACATTTGGTCCCGGATGACGTGAGAGGCGCAACCTGGGAGGTTTAGCTGGGGAAGTGACAGTGTGCCAGGGAGAGCTAAGGAGACGGAAAGGGCGACGGGTGAAGGGGTGCGGAGGGTGTGCCAGCAACTCAGCACAGGTCTGGGCGGGGTCCCAGGAGAAGAGAATTGAATGAGGAAAGGCAGTGCGTGAGGAGGCCCCACCCGGCCGCCCACCATCCCGCAGACACAGGAGGCACCTGACACCTGGCACCTCCATGCCTCCTGGAAACCGCAGCCCCAGAGCGGGAAGGAGGCTCGCGAGGAGGGGCAGAGTGACAGCCCCTCTCCCAGCTCAGTCACAGCAGCAACCGTGGAGGCTGGGGACGGTGGAGTGATACCCACCAAGGCTGAGAGAAGGGACTGTCAGCCTGGAATCACGCCACCCGCAAAACCATCTCTGGAGAGCAAAGACAAGTGAACACTTGAGGGTTTACCGCCAACAGACTTTCACTAAAGGAGCTTCTGAAGGATGGACTCGAGGATGGAGAATAATCTTCAAAGGAAGGTCTGTGACAAGGAAAGTGAACCAAGGAGCTGGTAAATGTGGGGCAGATCCAACAAAGGACTGTGTGAGATAATGACAGCATTTCTTATTAAACAGTGTTTTTTGACTGTAATGTCTTATTTGTGCGGTTAAGTTTTTAGAAAGGGCAGAACAACAATGGGACAATGATAGTGATTGAATTATTCTGAGCCCATTTTCAGAGAAATTAAATATTCATTAGTTTTGGTGTCTGTTGATAACAATACATGGTAAAAACTCAAGGATTCCTTCATTGAAATTAAAGACTTAACGCTCTTCAAACGACCCTGTTAAGAGGATAGAAAGACAAACTACTTACTGGGAGATAATGTTTGTAGATCACATATCTGGCAGAGGACGTGTATCCTGAATATATAAAGAGATCTCTAATTCCAACAATAAGAAAAAATATACTTGAATTAGAAAATGGGCAAAAGATTTGAGCAGACCCTTCACCAAAGAAGATATATGGATAGAAAATAAGCATCTGAAAAGATGTTCAACATCACTAGCCATTAGAGAAATGCAAATTAAAACCATAATGAGAAACCACCGCACGCTTGCTAGAATGGCTAAAATAAGAGATACAGAGAAAGTGGACCATTCATACACTGCTGGCGGGAATGCAAAATGATACAGCGACTCTGGAAAACACTGTGGTAGTTTCTTAAAAAGTTAAACACTCACTTATACTTCCCAACAATTGCGCTCCTGCGCATTTATCCTAGAGAAATAAAAAGTCATGTTTACACAAAAACCTGTACACAGGCATTCACAGCATCCTTATCTGTAACAGCCCCAAATTGGAAATAACCCAGATGCCTTCTGTGGGTAAATGGTTAAACTGTGGTGCATCCATGCCAAGAAATACTACTCAGCAATAAAGAGGATGGACAAGGTGGAGGGTTCTGAGGGCATTTTGCTGAGTGGAGGAGCTTGTCTTGTAGAGCCCATGCTGGGTGATTCCGTGGGTCTGACACCCTCTAAGGGACGAGATTGTGGAGATAGAAACGGGGCCGGGAGGTGGGCTGGGTGGGTGCAACTCTAGGACAGCACGAGGGCCCCCTGAGGTATTGGAGCAACTCTGTATCCAGTCACCACAGCGGTACAGGGATCTGCACGTGTGATAGTGTCTCACAGACCTACACACACTAGTGGAAAATACAATAAAATTGAAGGCAGCAGTAACCTCTGGAAGAGTATTGTAGGAGTCTATAACTTCCACACCAGGAAGAAAGGAGTAAGAATGCAAGTAAGCGGACAAAAAGTCTTTACTGAATAAAAAAGGGGAAAAAAAGAAACTAAAATAATACAGAAGGAAAAAAATTGGACAAATAGAAAACCTGAGGCAAGCTTTTGAAATCGTGTCCAGTAAACCAATTATTGTGGACGGATTAGAAGAACCTATTAAATGTCAAGGATCGTCAGATTGTAGGAAAAAAAATCTCTCTTTGCCATTTACAAGTGATCCAGTAAAACATAAGGACCAGAAGGTGAGAATGAAGCTGTAAAGAAAGACACATCGGTCAGAGAGTCAGGGAGGGTGTGAGTGGTAAGGTCAGCTTTGGACAAAATGGACGTGAAGACAAATATGTACATGAATACTACCAGAATTAATCATAAAAGTAAATGTATTAAACAGGATAGCACAGATCACTGCATGATCGGCTCAGCTCCTCAGGAAGATGAAAAACCTTACATTTCTATACACCTAATAAAAGAGCTCTAAATAGATAAACAAAGCCAGAACTTCCCACCTGCAAAGGGACTCCATCACGAGAGTAGAAGGTGTCAGCATGGGCACAGAGACTAGGAATTAGTGAATATAGTGCAGGTTTCAGTAATAATCAGCACTTGACTTACTGGACCCTCAAACAGCAGGTAACGGTCTTCTCCAGGACGCCTGGGACGGCTGCAGATTTTGACCATGACTTAGGTCATAGAGCAGGTGTCAGCAAACTTCAAAGAATCAGTAATGGGTAAAACACTACAATTATTAGAAAATGCAATTAGGAAAATGCACAAAAATAAAGAAAAAGTTCCTTGTATGTTGGGAAATATTTAAAACAGTCCTAACTAACTGGGAGGTCGATGAAGAAATCATTTATAGGTATGTGAAAGAGACATAATTGAATAATGATGAAAATACTACCTATCAAAATCTGTGAGGTATTTCAAAGGAAATTAATAGCCTTTAAATACTTATACAACCAAAGAGGAAGGGCTGAAAATTAATGAATTAAGATATTAAAAAGACATCAAATTAGGGTAGAAGGACTACAGAATGAACCCTGAGAAATTAGAAGGAAAAAGATTATAGGGACTAAGCAGAATTTATTAAGTTATAACAGCGCCTGCAGGAAGCCAAGAGATTAGATGGCTCTTTGGAAAGATGGTGAAAATAGACAAACCACTAGTAAGATTGATCCAGCATTGAAAGAGCAGAAATTCCAAAGTAATAAGAGAATTCTGTGAACGGTCTTCTGCCAACAAGTTTGGAAACTTAGGGGAAAAATGGACAGATTCCTAGAAAAGTACAATTTGCCAACATTGACTCAAGAATAAATAGATCAGTGGTTCTGTAGCCATTAAAGAAATAGAATGGGTCGGAAAGACTTTCTCCCCATGGAAACACTAAGCCTGATTGGTCTTTTACGTGCGTTCTACCCAGCTGTCAGGGCAGAGATCCAGTCCTGTACAAACCTCCCCGGAGAACGGAAGAAGGGGAAATTCCTAAATCCGTAACTCGAGGTCAAATCAAAGGTGACATACGTACGGGAAAGGATCATCGTGGGCCTGTCTGTCTCATGGACACAGACCTGGTCATCCTATCACAACACAAGCGGACCGTGCTGAGTCCCGTGGCCTGCCTTTTGGAGCTGGTAGTTTAGCAGGAAGCCCGGACAAACCAAAGGCTTTGGGGGAAGTAATGCCCCCCACCCTCCACTGGAGCTGCCTCAAGGACGAGGATGAGGGATGATGCTGAACTTTGAACGCCCACCCTGAGGCCCAGCGTGGGGAGCTGTGCAACTGTCCTCAGGCAGCAGCAGCAGAAAACAGCAGTGCATGCCCCGCAGGTGCCAGGGACAAGGTCGGCCTCCTTTCTTCCCCCTCTCCCGCATCCTTTCCACATCCTAACTGCCCCCCAGTGTAGGTCTTTACTCACACATGTGCTTAACAGAGAGGCTTCCCCTGCTGCCTCTCGCCCTCCCATCCCCACACGTGCCAACGCCCCCTGTAAGTCCTTGTCTTCCTGGGCAGGGAACCTCCACAAGGCAGGGCTCTGGCTGCCCCCGGCCCCCGGGACGGCGCTCAGCGTGCAGTCCGTGCTCTGTCAACGCACTGCACAGTCTGTGTACCGCCCGCACCTATGCAGAGGCACCCGGAAGGCAGGGCCGGGGAGATTAGGAGGTGCAGGAGGAAGCAGGGTCTCCAGTGGGCCAGGCTCGGGGTCGGATGCTGTCTTGGGGAGCTTGGGCTTCTGAGCTAATCCAAGTCCAGCCAAGGGCAGGACTCGCGAAGAGCCCCGCTGGTGGCCTGGCCCAGGCCCCGAGCCTCCAGGGAGGGTGAGGAGGGACTCTCTGGCCAGAGCCCTTCATCCTGTTCCCAGTGACAGGATGTAGTAATCTGAGAGCCTGAGAGGCCTCGTCCAGGCTGTTTTGGGCCTGGGACCTGCTGCCCTGGCCAGGCTGAGGGCCACGCTGGGCAGCTTGTGGGGGAGGGGAGGTGCCTTTTAATTTGGAGCCGAGCAGGGTAGATAAGCAGCAATTGGATTTGCCGAGGCCTGAGTCCCCGGGTGCAGAGAACACCGGAGAATCTTATTTTCATGATCAGATTGTTATAAATCCTCCCCACCATCTGCTGGGAAATGTAAATGTGGATTGGGTTCCAGGCGCCGGGAGGGACAGCTGGTGGGGCCGCGGGGGGCGGGGAGGGGGACCCCGTGTGCACCCGGGCCTCGGGCTGGGCCCCAGGCCGTGCCCTTTCCCGCCCCCCGCGGCTCTGTGCGCTCCGCAGCCCCGCTCTGAGTGATCGCCCGCAGGAAAGTAACCCCAGGCGAAGATTTAAGTCCATCTGCTGGTGACTGGGCTCACCATGCCTGGGTAGACGGGCAGAGGTCACGGGCATAGGACAGAGGGACTGGGGGGCCCTGCACCCCGCTGTGTGCTCCGACTGCCCCAGTGTCCTTGGCGACTCGCAGCAGCTTCAGGTCAGGTGGGCGCTGCCTTGGCCCAGCTTCAGTGTGACTGCAGGTGTCCCCACTCCTCTAAGCGGCGGACGTGGGCCGACCTGCCTGCTCTCTGGCTGGCCTGGGGACCGGACCTGGCGGGGCCTGCAGGGCCTGCAGGCAGCAGGGAGGTGGCGCGGGTCCTGGGGCCGTGCTCCGGCTGCCCTGGGCCCGGGGTGAGCAGCTACAGCCTGCGGACCACTCGCAGCAAGGCTGGGCAGGAAGCCCCTGCCAGCAGAGGCCCTCTCACCCTTTCTTGATACGCAAAGGAGTCTCTGCTCAGGGGAGATGGGCCTGCCCTTGGGAGTGAGTGCAGGGCCGCCCCGTGTTCTTCCTGCTGTGCTGATCACACAAGTGGCGCTCCCTGTGGGTGCGGGGGTCCAGCCTGACACATTCCTGTTCTGGAGACAAGGGTCAGGGGTGTCCTTGAGGCCCAGAAGAAACTGCCAGAGAGATGGCTAATGAAATGCCAGCCCCGTGGGCCAGAGGAGGACAGAGGATAAATCAACACGGCCCAGATGAATGTGGAAAGGCCTCCAAAGGAGGGGGGGACTGGCTCTGAGGGGCAGTCTTAAAGCTCGAAGTGCCTGCCCCCCGAGGGGTGCCTCTGAGCCCCTGAGGTGAGAAGAGTCTCACCCCCTGCACAGATGAGACCTGTGAGGCCAGATGGTGAAGACTTGCCCTAGACTCAGGGACATGCAGCCACCACCGCTCACAGCATGCGGGGGACACAGGCATGGGCAGGCCTGGTGGCGGGCAGTGCACGTGTGTACGCGTGTGCATGCATGTGTGCATCTGCACGTGTGTGTACATGATGTGTGTGCGTGTGCACGTGCTCAGGTGTGTTGCAGTGCTGGGCACGAAGTTTATGTATGTGCACGTGTGTGTCGTATGTGCCTGTGCGCAGGCATGTGTTCTCCTTGCTTGCCATCCAGGCAGTGTCCGGAGCATGAAGGTGGGAGTGGTCCGCTTCCTAGATGGGGCACCAGGTGGGCAGAAGGGCTTCTCTGGGAGGCCGCTGGTCTGTGGGAGCTGGGCACAGGGCAGAGGAAGAGCTGCACGCCCCAAGCCAGGCCGCCAGGCCCTGAGCTGCCCACCCCTCGGTGGGAGGGGCGCCTGGCCGCACCTCACGTCACCTGGCCACTGATCAGATGGGCCCCTCTCCTGGGCGGGTCCGCAGAGAGCCCAGGCCCTGTCCACAGTACCCCTGAACACCCACCTTGGGGGCGAGCTTCCGAGCGGCCCTCCTAGCACGGCTTCCTCCTGGTCTGCCAGTCCCAGACTGAGCTTCAGAGCACCGTGCCAGCAGAGGAGCTGCCTGGCCTTCCCGAGCCTGGACACAGGGCAGGCAGATGGGAGGGGTGGGCCGGGGGTCCCGCTGGAAGACGGTGGCCTGGAGGAGGGGAGAGCCTCCTGAGGCAGCGCCTGGCGTCCGGCCCAGTCCTGGTGGTAAGACTGACCGGGTCTTCTGTCCAGGGTACCGGGTCCAGTTCTCACAGAGAACTGCTGCGCATGCCGGGTGGCCCACTTCAGCATCTCCCTTGCAGGACCTGTGCCCCCGCCTGCCCCCACCCCTGCCCAGCTCCGCAGGCTTCAGCTGGGAGGGCCGTGGGAGCTCCTGGCTACTCCAGAGGACGGAGGTTCTCAGGCTCAGGTCACCCCTGAGTGGGGGCTGGACTGGGAGTGGGGAATTGACCGCTCCAGAGAGGTGACGAGGGGACACCACCCCACCGCGGGGTGACTGGGGGATGGCTGTGTGCGTGGGAAGGTCCCTTTCAAGGCAGAAACAATGCAGTTTTGAAGTGGTAGGGAATCTGGGCTCATTTTCAGCAGCTGTATGCAAATTGCATGCAAATGAACCTCTTTTCCTTCCAGTACCAGTGAGTGGCCCAGAGAAACAGTGATCTGGAGGGACCAGAGTGAGCCCCGCATCTTGTCCGATTCACATCAAGAATCCCCTTCTTCAGAAGCTGTGCTGAGTAGGGGCAGCCACTGCTGTTTATTTAACAGATGAGGACGGTCCCTGGAGTCACACAGACTGGGTTCTAATCCCAGCTCTGCAGTGACTGCCTGTGGGTGACTCTGAGTGTGTTGCCGAACCTCTCTGCTCCTCATTTCCCTTTTCTGTAACGTACATACAGGGCTGCCTCAGCGGGTTGCATGGGAAGCACTTAGCACAGTGACTTGTTCTGATGATGGTGTGGTGGTGGTGGCGGCGGTGGTGGTGGTGGCGGCGGCGGTGATGGTGGTGGCGGCGGCGGCGGTGATGGCGGTGGTGGTGGTGGTGGCGGCGGTGGCGGTGGTGGTGGTGAATCCTGCTGTGGTGGTAATTATGGTGATAAGAGCGAGTCCTCCACAGCAGGCATGGTATGAGGCCCTGGGAGAATGGAGAAGAAAGGTGATCTCTGTCTTTGCGATGCTCATATCTTCTTCAGAGCCCTCCCCAAGGTGGGGCTTATGTTCTAACTTGTGTCCTTGCCCTCCAGTCCCCGGAGGCCTCTGTACCTAAGAGCTCCACTCTCCACACTCCCTCCACTGTCACCTCTCCTGTCGGTGCTGACAGCGTGCCTGCCTTAGGGCAGCTGTGACTTGACCTATGGGCCTTCCTTAGGGCCCCTGCTGTCAGGAGGGCGTGCAGGCAGGTGGGGGCAGGGAACACAGGGAGGACAACACGTGGTCCTGGCTCTTGGGGGACCACTGTTCTCCTGTGGCCTTGCGGCACCACGCTTACCCCCCCGCCAACGCAGCACACACTCTGTGCTCCATTCAGACTGCACCCCTGCAGGGCCCCACACCTTCCTCTGTGCAGCAGAGCCCCCATCCCACTGTATTCATTATGCCTTGGGGCCCTCCAGCCTCCTCCGATCCCCCTCCAGCCTCCAGCTCCCCAGGTGGACACATCTGCCACTCTCGTCATTCTGGCTGTTGGCACAGGGTCGAGCGTAGGGTGAGTGTCCAGGACCTGCTGGAGGGCCTGCTGTGCCTGCTGGGAGCTTCCCACCAGGCGTGCGGTTGGTGGGGGGCATGGGGGGCGGGGCTACAGCACCCGAGGAGCCCCAGAGCGTGGCCGGTCCCTGTCCTGCTCTCATGACAAACAGCCCACTGTTGCCCATTTTGTGGACGTGGGACTGAAACTCAAGAAAGACCAGCACTTGCCCCAAATCATGCAGCTGGTGAGGGGTGGAGCCAGCGTTCAAATCCAGTCTCTGATGCCCAGGCTTTCCCGCGCACCTTGGGATTTTGGACAGAGCCAGGAAGTCGGGAGCGGCAGGTGTTGCACTGGAAACGGGAGGAGCCGGAAGGGGGAGGATGGCCAGAGGGAGACAGGGTGCAGCGGTCCACGGGACAGCTCCCACCACTGTGCACAGACGGGGCTGCTGCGCTCTCTGCAAGCTCGGGGAGTACTTGCTTTGTCTGTCGCCTCGAGCTGGTGGAGGTGGGGTCTGGAGAGGGGTGGTGTGAGGGTGCTGGTGGTGGGGGAGGCTGGGGCGAGGGGGTGGCCCCCGTGCCAGGACTCGGACCACATGGGGTGCCGGGGAAGCCAGCTGCAGCCCTGAGGCTTGGAACCCAGCGGAATCCAGTTGGCTGGGCCCTGCCCAGATATAGATTTGGTTTTATTGAGAACCTCAGCGCTGCCAGGCCCACAGGCCCGGGCCCACGGCTCTCGTGCGCTTACCGCCAAGAAAGAAGGGGAAAGGGAGACAGAACTCTGTAGCCCTTTTGCAATGAGAAGCCAGGAGTGTTTGCGTGAGATCGATTTCTGTTTCTGGAAGAGGCTCAGCTCTTAGCCCAGCCCCGCCACCCTGGTCCAGCCTCGGGTCTGAGGGGTGGGTGGGCAGCTGCAGTGGGGTGGCCTGTTGCCAGCCTTGTTGTTCGTGTCACTGCTGCCATTCCTGCAATGTCGCATGAGCGAGGTCACACCCAGCAGTGGCTGGGCAGGCGCCCTGGTTGTCCGGCTTCCAAGCCTGTCCTGCCACTGAGTCCATTCCCCCTGAGTCGGCACCGCCTGCCCCATCCAGTCTCCGTAAAATGCCACCTGCCCTGGGAGGGGCTGCTTCTGGCCTGGGCTCCTTGTCTGTGTGAGGGATCAGATGTGTCCTCCAGGGCGGGAGGCGCAGGGCAGGACGGAGGGGGTTTGTGCCCCACCTCTGCGAGTCCAACCTCACTCAGCCGAGCCGCACACCTGTCCTACGCAGGGGACAGGGCAGGGGGCAGCGTGCCCATTGTACAGATGAAACAACTGAGGTGTGGGGAGGTTAGGGGGCCCCCAGTTCAAGGAGGAGCCAGGATGGGGACTCGGTGCTGAGGCCACCCCCGGGGGGCCTGCATGTGGGAGGGATGGTGGCAGTGATCACAGTAACTAACAAGGGTGCCTGCAGGGCCGTCTGGTCCTGACGAGCTCCCGGCCTGGGAAGGAGCAGAGCTTAGAAATGCCCCAGCCTGAGTACTGGCTGCATTAGTTAACTTGCTGTGCGACTTTGACGAAACTGTGTATTATCTCTGAGCCATCCTTTTCGTGTCTGGAAATCTCCTTTGCCCGGGGTTGGGGGATTAAGTGAAGCCGTGCAGGTAACTAACTGCCTGTTAGGAGCCCAGCCTGTGCAGGTGACCCTTCTTGCACTGAGCACTGTCACCGCCAGCACCACCTCAAAGTTCAGGGTTGGGCAGGGTTCCAGCCCCAATCTGTATGCAAGGAGAAGAGGCCCAGAGAGGCTCAGAGACCTGGCCTGGGTCACACAGCTGGTCGGGGGCACAGCCTGGAAGAAAAGCCCGGTGCCCGGTCCTGGCCATTCTTCTCCACCTGCTGCCGAAGCACATTATTAACTGGCCCCTCCCAGGAGGACAAGTACAGTGTCTGTTTACCTCTTGACAGCAGAGAGGGGGAAACAACAAAATTAAACCAAACAAACCGCCCAGACACCAAACAAGCTCTCTCTCAAAGTGCGTGCTCTGCAGATAGAAGAATGCGGAGGGGCGGAACGCGGCTGCTGGGAGACTGAAGGATGCAACCCCTCCAGCGAATCGCGGGCCTGTCTCCAGGGCGGGAGCGCTCTGGGCCGATTGATGCTTTCAGAAGGCAGGGCCGAGAGGCAGCCCGCCTGCCTGGGGTGGGCAGGTGTGTGCTGCACCCTAACTGCAAGGGCTGTGGCTGCCTGGAGCGCGGTCCCGGAGGCGTGGGCTGTGCCTAGGAGGGCAGGACCGGTGCTCCCCACTCTCTGCTGCCCCAGCCTCCTTGTCCCTCAGAAACGGGGGGGCCCAGCTCTCCTTCTTTATTGTGGTTTTTTGGGGCATGGCTTCTCCTTTTCAGCCCCAACTGGTGGGAACTGCAAGCTCTGAGCAGCCCCAAGTGGGCACCATTGGATGCATCCCCGTGATCGGGGGTCACAATCTGGAGAACAGGGGTCTGACCGAGGTGGGCGTGGGAAGTCTGGATCCGATTCCAAACAACGTGGGCTTGCCTTCTGTGTGTTCATGGGCCTTGGTGTTCCCAGCCTGTAAATGGACCACGGAAGGAGCGTCAGCACCACGGACAGGGGCAGGGGCGGCTGGACACTGGGTCATCCTTCAGGATGTGCCCTCCTGCGCCTGGCTCAGACCCCAGGCCTAGCGGGGCAGCGATTCACCCTTGTCACTCTGCAGGGGTCCCGGGAGGGGAAGGATATCACTAAGCATCGTCCCTCCCCTTTGCGAGGCTTTACCTGTTTCCCAGGTGAGCCTCCCTGCAGCCCCAGGGTAGGAGCTGAGTGCACATCGCAGAAGGGGGGTGGGGGTTAGGCTAACCTCCCTGCACCGGTGGCCCGTCCAGCCATGTCCTTGCCTCCCTCACACATCGGTGACTCCGTGGTCCCCACTCCCCCCCACCCCCCACCCCCCGCCACCTCACTGCTGCTTCAGGAACATCTGTTGACGGCTCATTAATGATGTTGCCAACAGGGCAGATGAAAAGGCTCAGAAGGGAAAGCAGAAGCAAGGGGACAGCTTCGATCCCGGGATTGTTGAGCTGTCCCTGATGCAAGCAAGGCTTCTGCCACGCTGACGCTCTTGGCGTTGCTGGCTGTGTCCCTTTCCGCTGGTCCAGTGTCCACTGCTGTCTGCCGGGAAAGGGATCGGGCGCTACACCTTGGTGCCCCCACACTCGGAACATTAGCACCTTGAGGAGTTTCAACTTGCTGTGCTCTGGGGGAGGGAGGCCTCGTTACAGCATCATTTTTAGCCTGGCGAGGAGCTCTCCATGCCCCCAGGTTTGCACTTTCCCTCAGAATGCTCTTTTGCTACTGGCAGGAGAATAGATGTGAGAATAAGAGAGCAGCACGGGGCTGTGAGCGTGAGGGGTTCCAAGTGGTGTTTGTTAACTCAGGGCCTGCCGGCATTAAGGACTAGCACATACATCCCACCGAGCTGCCGGCCCTGGCACTGGGTCCCCTGTGTTAATGGTCACCAGAGCCTTGCTGTCGGCTTTGGAGGAGGGAGCGAGAGGCCAGAGAGGCCTCAAGGGCCGCCGAGGATCACACGGCAGGTTAGCGGCAGGATTTCGCATCCCTCTGTTAAATGGAGCTCATCCTGTTCCTCCTTGTATCAGTCAGCTCAGGCTGTTTGGCTGCAGTAACAAATGAGCCCAAGGCTGGGTTTGGTTCTAGCTTGTGTTACATGCCCATAGTGGGTTGGAGGTGACTTTGCTCCTGTGCTTTGACTCTGGGACCCAGACTGATGGACAGCCCCCCTCAGACATTGCCAGGCTCACAGCAGAGACCAGAGCAGTGGAAGAATCTCACAGTAGCTTTGGGTGTGTGCTTGGGAGCAGCAAGTGACCTGCTGCACCCACCAGGCACTTCACAGGCCAGACCCGGGGCCAATGGGACTGCTGTGCATGGTCCTGTGGGGAAGAGGGAGCGGGGAGAGGTGCTGAGAGAAGGGCCGTGCACTTTGGAATGAGGGTAGAAACTGCCCCCTGCTCAGAATCACACCCCTACCTCCAGCAAGCCCTCTCCACCCCGTCTTCCTTTGTCCCCTCCTCTCGTGGCCTCTGCCCAGGCCCTGCCCTCCTTGGGGGTCTGGGGAATTTCCACCCACTCCTCCATTCCCTGGACTCAGGGAGGCGCCCCAGTCCCCCACCGCACACACTGACCTCAGTGACCCGCTGGGTTTGGACCTTCTCTCCTCTCACCCCCTGGGCCTGCTCTCCACCCCCGAGGGAGGAGGTGGCCTGGCCTGGGGCCCCCGGTCCATGGGGTTTGGAGCTCAACCAGGGGGCCTCCTCCAGGCCCTCCTCGTACTTCTGTGCCTGGGGAGCTTCCGTCCCTGTTGCACCCCTGCATCCTCACCCTCTGAAGCCCTCTCCTGACCCCTGTCAGGTCTCAGCCTCCGCCTCTGGTCTGGGTGGGGTCCCGGGCCTCTGGGGGTGCCTGTCTCCTGCCTCTGCCCCTGGCCACCCAGGCTCGGGCTTTGTGGGCACGTTGGGCAGCAGCCTTTGTGACCTCCTGGCGCGTTCTGTGCCCAGACACCCAGGGCATGCTGGCATGCAGCGGGACCTGCCACACATCGGCAGAAACGCCTGGCAAGAGGAGTGTGAACCTCATGCTTTGGGTTCAAGATCACCAGCCTTGTCGTGTGCAGGTGTCAGCTCACTTGCGATCTTCGGTGAGCCCGGGGTCGCCCTGTCCCCATGTGGAAGATAGGCCCAGGGCTCAGCATGGCTACGGGGCCTTCCCAGTTACGCTTGACTGAAACCCCGCCTGCCTGACCCTAGGTTGGGGGTCTGGTCAGGCTGCCTCCCTCGGCTGAAGCCAGGACTTTGGGACACAGCTGGGGAGGGGGAGGGGAGGAGCAGGGAGAGCGTGTGCCCCGAGTCCGCTCCTGGCAGGGAAGGGTTTCTCTGGGTTGAGACCTAGGAGTGGGGCACGTGGACGGTTCAACTTGACCTGATGAGACTAAGTTGTCTTCCAAAGG